ATGTCATTGACTATCACCGATTAGCTATTGATGAGAACGTATGAAGAGTAACCAATTCAGATTGTCAACCGCCAAGTCAAGCAATTGAGAAATAAACTTAATACCGTTAGTGAAAGTTGAATGGAAAGATCATTATGGGCAAGGAGCCACATAGGAAACAGAGGACGAGATGAAGAAAAGGTATCCAGATTTGTTTCCTTGGCAAGGTAAGTTAAGTTTGGAGGACCAAACTTTTTAAGTTGGAAGATTGTGACAACCAAGCATGCATAACACATTCATGCATTCATTTATGCTAGGAAGTTCTTTCATTTCATGGGCATAATGCATATGATATGTTTGCTATGTTAGGACTTGGGCTTTGTTGAGTTTGAGTAGGAAACCTTAGTAAATTTGAAGGACTTGAATAAGAAACCTAAGGATGGAAAACTAGGCAAACAATGAAAAGTTAGGGAAGTTGTTTGAATTGAAATATTGAATGTCTAGGTAACTTAGGAAACCTTAGGTGAGGAGCTTAATAAACTTAGTCTAATGAGTAGAGCCTAATGAGTACTTAATCAAAAATTAAGTAGGATTAACAAAAGTTAAACAAGGTTAGCTTAAGCCTAACTGAGGTTAATTAGACTAACCAAGAATAGGATTTAAACAAGGTTAATTAGTAAGCCTAATCAACTAACCTAATGAGATAATTAGCAAATTAACCTAATCTGTCCTACAAAAGATAGAAGTTTAGAGAAAGGTGGAGAGAATTGGAGAGGTTTTGTGTTCTTGGAGCTCTAGGCAGAAAAGGAGAAAAGAAGAGAAAAAGAAAGAAAAATTCAAGGGAGCCAAGGTTTGGTCCTAGAAAACCAAAGAAAATCATAATAAGGTAAGAAACTCAATCCTCTTCCCTAGTTTGACATCAAAACCTAGCTAGAAATTCATTAGCAACAAGTTTTGGAAACATTAAAATGAAAAGAAATGGAAAAGTTTGAAAACAAGAAAAAGGTTTAAAGATTTGTTGAAAGAAAACTTGTTTTGAATTGTTTTACCTTAGATTTGAATCACAAAAGTGTTATACTATAAGCCTACATAATTTGCTTGTATTTAGGAACCTTAGAACTTGATTTTTGAGGATTGAAAGTGTAAAAAAGAAAAGAAGAAAAGAAAAGATAGGAAACATGAATTAAATCCATCTTTTTCTTGTTTTGATCTCAAAATCAATGCATATACATGACTTTTGATTAGTTTTACATCATATAGATATAATATATATTAGGATGTTATGGAACATATTTTGGGTTTTGAAAGCATGAAAAACAGGTTTTGGAGGCCAAGAACACTCAAGAACAGCCCAGCCTCGATCTACCCAGTTCTCCCGCATGTGCAGCATGAAGAACCGCATGTGCAGCAAGCCCTCCACAGCAAGTGCGGAATTGGTCCCCGCACGTGCAGCACCCCCAACCCAGAACCAAGTTGCAGACTGCATTAATTGCACATGCAAATTTCAGGGCTCTTGCCTGTTTCGTTTTCTTTTCGTTTTCTTCGACCCTCAGATACCCTTATACATGTTTTGAACTTAATTGGAAGTTGAATACAACTAGAAACTAATCTAAATCATGTCGAATTAGGAAAGAAAAGTTAAGTTAAGATAGTTTAACTAATAGGTCTTCACTTTGTCGGTATTTGTATTCTTTTGTGTAGGTCAAGATTGTTTAGAAGTTTTATCGAGCACGAGCCATCTGTGAGTAATATTATTGTAACGTTATGTTCAAAATTTATTTGGAAAGCTTGATGATATGCTATGGATTATGAATCTTTATTTTAATTCTGAATGAACAAATGTCCTCTATTTTGTTTAAAGTTATTGATGACATCCTTAGTCCCAATCATTGGGGGGGACAATCTAAATATACCATGACCATATTTGAGCTCCATCGCCACTGAAGTGTGGATTGTCTAATCGTACCCGGGTCGATTATTCCATTAAGAGGCTCTAATGGATGTACCATTTATCATGTAATGTTTATGAATGTTGAATGCTAAATGAATGGTTGCTACTAATGGATTTGGAATTTGTTCATTCACCACCTTACCATGATATTATTTACTGGGCTTGGCTTATTCTCATATATATATAAATATATATATGTAGGTGATCAAGAGGAGCATCAGTAGAGGTTGTGGACCTTTTTACTTTTGTCTTTTGATCTTTCTGATCTTTTGGAGAACGAGTTTTTGGTATTATGTAATGGATAGTAAGGTCTTGTACCTATGGATGTGAATATTATACTTTTCTTTTGTTTATGTATATGATGTAAATTATTCTAATATAATCAATGAAAGATTGTATGTTCATTCCATATTACTTATGCACTGCTCTATAGACGTAATGATTTAATGATGAATTTCCGCGGTTAAGCCCTATATATCTTAGTCTTTTTGTATTTTGTTAAGCCAAGACTTTGGTAATCAGGGATTATTGGCCAATCATCACCCTAACCTCTAGGGGCAGGTTGGGGTCATGACACTTTTAAGCATGCATTTGACACTTGTTAATACTTGATTTAGACTGGAAATAAGCTTAGGAAGACCTTGAACAACCTAAGAAAATAATTAAGAAATATTAAGGTAAGTTTCGGCACTTGAATTGAAGTAGGAGCTTGTAAGTTGAATTGTGTTCAATGTCTTGTTCATGTTCTATGCAGGTCAAGCATTTGGAGGAAGAAAACACCCTTGGTTCAAGAGCCATTTGTGAGTAATATTATTGTAAAGTTATGTTCGAAAATTAGTTTTGAAAACTTGTTAATATGTCATATTTTGTGAAATCCTTATTTTGTTTCCGAATGAATGAATGTCCTATATTTTGATGAATCTATTATTGCATCCTTAGTGAGTCCTTAGAGGGCCCCTTTACCATTCTGTATAAATGGAATATTCTATGTGTACAGATATGGTAGAGGGGTGCATTTAATCCCCTTTTTTATTAGTTTTCATTCAGGCGCGGGGTAGAGCAGTTTGGTAGCTCGCAAGGCTCATAACCTTGAGGTCATGGATTCAAATCCTATCTCCGTAACATCTTTTTTCTTAGGTCTATTAATCTGTTAACTAGATAATTAATTAATTATTATCTTGGGGTGGAGGTCAATCGGGGCAGATACCGCTCCATCAATGGCCTAAGCCCCTCTCGGAGTTCGGCACAAAAAGATGAAGCGGCATCCAAATCAGTTGGAGAAACTATACTTGAAAAGGTAGTTCATTAGAGGACATTTATTTTCGTACCATAGTCGTTATTGAGATCTCCCTTTGACAACCGAGAATGGGTTGTTTTGCTTTGCTCTAAGGATGCAGCATGCTATCATGTTTTAAATATGAAGTATTCTCATTAGAAATCTTCAAATGCTATTGGAAATATGAATTGAAATCAATACTTTGCAAATGCTTGGAATTCGTTCATTTACACTATACTGTAATACTATTCACTGGGCAATGGCTCACCTCTCACCCGTATATGTGTGTAGGTGCAAGAGAAGCATCATGAAGAAGTTAGCTCCGTGAAGTTCATGTTTATATGCTAAAGACAAGAGGGTTGTAATTAATCTTGTGTATGTTGTATTCCTTGTAAATATGTATGCAATCAAGAATGATGTATTTTTCATTACATATAGCACTGCTCCGAATGGACGTTCAAATGAATTTAATGGACTCAACTAAAGTGAATAATAGCTTCTGCAACTTAAAATGAGATTTGCCCCAATTATCATAAGAGTCCAACTTGATTTTTGTTCAATTAGTCCTTTGGTAGTCAGGGACTACTGATCAGTCACTACACCATCCTGTTTGGGACAGGTTGGGGTGGTGACACTCATCATCCCAGTAAATTTGAAATCTTATCATAAAATTGGTTGAAATTTATGTGCCAACAGTGTCGTGCCACTTTAACATCAAGCTCTTTTAATCGTTGATAAAACCTATATTTTCTAGTTCTATCAACACTATCATATTCATCTCCTTCTAAATTTTCTAAATGTTTTTCATTTAACAATTTGTCAAAATAACTTTTTAACATTTCCCTAATATCCTCATATTTCACTAACACCCTTAAATCCTCACTTTTTTATACACTTAACTGATTAAAGTCGCTTCGTTTTCCTTTCTCTCAATTTAGCAAGTTTCTAAATATTCTTTTCTCACTAGAATCCAAGTCTCCAACAGAGAATAATAATAATAAAAGCAAGCCGTTCATAATTCCACATCAATGGGACTCAAGATCAAATCAAATTTTACATAACCCATATGCTAGAAAGTTCACAATTTTAAATTGGTCAAATGAAGGCAAATGAATCAAGAACTCAACTACATGAAGTTAAATACTCCCACAATGCAACCTTCATAAGGAGAGCCTTGTCCCTTAAACACGGATGGATTGACATCAGGGCGAGTGGGGGGCAATTGCCGCCACTCAACTTCAAAGAAAGATAATTTTACATTATTATATATTTTGAAAAAATATTGCTTACCCAAATCACACCCACTAAATTTATTTCCGCCCAAACCCTACTCCCCATCAAGATTTGGACATTTTCTCTCTTTTTTTGTCTCTCTCATAAAAACAGAGTAGTGTGAAATAGGAGAAAACCTTTAATTTGCACCAGTGTCCCAAAGAAACCCACTAAAAAATAAATATAAACAAACAAAACAAATAAAACAAGTGTAGGGTTTAATTTGCGCATGGCTTATGATTCATGTTACTATTAATTAACTTAATAGATGTTAATTTGTGTTTTCAATAGATTAGGTGACTACAAATTGTGTTCAAATGTTGAGTTTTTGCTCATTTTTCAGATTTTGTTTATGTTAGAGGTTTGGCATTGGGGAACATCTAAGATTTTGCTCCATTGGACAAAAATCCTGGCTCTGCCCTGCCCCTGCCCCTAAACTTTCTCAGTAATCAAACAAAGCCTGTATTTTTATTCCCTATCATATAGCTAGATACTAGTGTACAAACAGAGAGAGTGGTAAACCTGCAAGCATTGAACAGGTTTCGATAAAACGTTTGCGTTTGTATATTTCCAAGCTCGGTCGACTCTGCAGAGAAAATCTAATGATAATCGGATTCATTTCACGCCATAAAATCTATCCTATCATATAAAACAAACAATTCATATGTATATAAACAGGTATATCTTCGAATTATAAGACTAGTTACTGGGAATCAAGTTCAAATTCAAACCCTAACCATGTCAAAGAAAGAGAAATCTCTGAGAATTGGTAAAAAAAAGAGAATGAGTGTACCTGAAGAAGAAGAAAGACCTGCAAGCAATCATCGTCGGCGGCGGAGGATAAGAGTGAGAATTTTAATCAGCGTTTTTTTTTTTTTTTTTTTTGGGCTGCGATTCCCACACGTGTCAATTGGAGGCGCTAATGCCTGCCAAGAATTGGACACGTGTATCGAACCTCTCAGTATTGGTGTTTGGTTGATTCTCAGAATTTGTTTAAAAATTTTAGGATAAATTAGAAATACCTCTGCATATTACTTAAAATATGAATCGCTTCCAATTATTTGAAAATTTATAAATATTTTTTTGTCAAAATTTTTTATTTAACAAAATTAATTAAAAAGGTAAAATTTTTAATTGTTCACCTATACAATAATAAAATTATCTAAATTATTAATTCAAATAAAATTTTAACATTATTAAAAACTATTAATTAATTTGATAATTTATTAATAAAAGAACCTATTTGTTATAAAATTAGAAACCTTATGAGGTATAATGTAATTTCTAAAACGTCAAGGGGTACTTTGTAATTTAAGTAAATCTCAAAGAATGTGTTTATAATTTATCCAAAATTTTAATAAACTAGTGGGTGGCACACACGATGTGTGTGCAATTTAAATAAGTAGGAATAAAAAAAAATAATAATGAAATTAATATTATAATGTGTACTTAGCTTAAGTGGTATGAGTCCTCGTACTTAAACTCATGGTCATGGGTTCAAGCCTTACCCATCTCTTTGTTTAACTTTTTTTAAAAAAATAAAAAATGCTGCCACATGGCATGAGGAGAGTAAAGCTTCAGGACACCATAAGAGCTGTTCACTTTATAATAGTACTAGTGGGTGGCACACACGATGTGTGTGCAATTTAAATAAGTAGGAATAAAAAAAAATAATAATGAAATTAATATTATAATGTGTACTTAGCTTAAGTGGTATGAGTCTTCATACTTAAACCCATGGTCATGGGTTCAAGCCTTGCCCATCTCTTTGTTTAACTTTTTTTTAAAAAATAAAAAATACTGCCACATGGCATGAGGAGAGTAAAGCTTCAGGACACCATAAGAGGTGTTCACTTTATAATAGTATAGATAGATAGATAGATAAATAAATTAGAGTAGTAGTTCACATACTTTAACTCTGGTATCAAATTTAGTTTTTATAAGTTTAAAGAAAATTTATTTATAAATCTCACCTTGAGAAATGGTGATTTAGTTAATCTTAAGATTTTTTTATAAATCAATTAGTCTCATTAATTTTGAAAAGATAAATTTAATATATTATTTAAAATTAAATTTACGATTATAATTTATACCTTTATTTTTATTATGTTTCCTTCTCTTTTTTTTCTTTTAAGCTAGAAATATAAAATACACAATTTATAAAAATCAAATTTATGATGAATTTTTATATGAGAATCTTTTTATTTAGAAAACATTTCAAAAAGCGTATAAAAATGAATTGAAATATGGAATTATTCAAATACTTCATAAGGAGTACAAAAACTCCTTAGTTTTGGACAAATGTATAATTTCAAATTGTAACACTCTAATATGCACTTCAACAAAATCTTTTGTGTACTTTTTCTAAACGTAACACTCTAATATAAACACTTTTAAATAACTCTTTAGTGTAACACTCTAATATAACATATAAAAAAAACTCGTTAATGTAACACTCTAATGTAATACACAAAAAAAACTCCTTAGTATATTTTATTCCAAACGTAGCACTCCAAAAAAAACTCCTTAGTGTAAGACTCTAATGTAATACAAAAAAAATTTCTTAGTGTACATTTCCTAAACGTAACACTTCAATATAACACTCTAAAAAAAATTTTTAATGTAACACACAAAAAACCTCTTTAGTGTACTTTTTCCAAACGTAACACTCTAAAAAAATATTGTAGGATTCTTCAAACCATTTCAAAATGAATACAAAAATTTATTAGTAAGTTTTGGACAAATCCATAATTTTAAACTGTGAGTCTTACCTTTGAAAAAAATACATTACAAAATTTTTTAGCGTTTTTGTGTATGTTACATTGGCGTTTATTACATTGGAGTTTTACGTTTAAAATTACATTGATTAGAGTGTTACATTTGAAAAAAGTGCACTAATTTTATTTTATTTTTTTTTGTTATATTAGAGTGTTACGTTTGGAAAAAAAAATATACTAAATTTTTTTTTTTTTAATGTTACAATATTACGTTTGAGAAAAGTACAACAATGAATTTTTTAGTATGTCACATTGGAGTGTTATGTTATTAGAGTATTACATTAGAGTGTTACATTTTTGTTCGTAATGTGGGATTTGTTCTAAAAGAAAGGAAAATCCAAGACTTCTATAGTGTGGATTGTCCAAATGTGTAATTTTACATTTGGTGAAACGCACTTTTATCTCTAAAAAATTAAATTCAAATTGTGGGGACATAATTTTTGAATGACAACACGTGGCCGATGTGTCACTAAAGTGCCAGCCGAGGTTGCACGTGTCCTGGTCATGACGCCAAGATAATCTCGGCTAGGCCGAGGTTATCTGCGAAGATACCAGAATCCGGGATAAGCGAATAAGGGACAAGAGTCCTAGAATGAGAGAGGACTTCAGTTTGGGTAAAGATAAGACTGTTAGAGAGTTTATTCCAATCCTACTGGGAGTCCAAGATTAGCAGTAATCCTAAGTCCATTGAAACTAGGCTTTTATTGGGACTAGGTTTATGTTGGCTATAAAGAGAGGCACCCCCATGGGTCTAAGGTACGATTTTTGTATTCTGAATAGTGAGTTAAGCATTTTTTCTATCTTTGAGAGATAACTGACTTGATCGTCGAAGTGCCCCCGGGTGAACGAACCACCGCCGGAATCTTATCTTTTTGTTGACAGGTCGTTCGAGCTTAATCTATTCTGCCAGTGTTCTCCAGCTGAGTCCTAGGTTGGCAGTATGGTCGGAAATTGATACCCACAATTTGACGCCGTCTGTGGGAAAGAAAGGAGAATAAATGGCCAATGATGGACAGAAAGAGAAGGTTGGGGACGACATTTCTACTGGGAGTGGGAAACCTGTTGACCTTGACGTCGAAGAAGACAACTGCAACGAAGAGACTCGTGGTGGGAGTCACGGAAGAAAGGATGTTGGCCAGGAGGGCGACGTGCCAAAGAAAACGGACCGAAGCGGGTATTACAACGAGGACGACCTCCAGGTATAGAAAGAAAGATGCCTGAGGAGGGACGATGAGGTAAAGGTCATGGCGGACAAATTGGCAGACCTACAAACGGCGGTCAATTTCATGATGCAGAACAACATCATATAGCCACCATTCCCACTGCAAGATACGCTAATTCCAACAGCCAAGAAAGATGCCCGAAAAGATGGGCAGAAAACAGTCCCTACAGTTCCCCAGCATACCAGGAGCAAAAAACACTCTCACTGGCCTTCAAGGGAGGTCAGGCGAGGAGAGTCAAGAAGGGAAGAATCTAGAAGGACACATCGCACCAAGGAAGCAAACCCCAAAGAACATCGGTATGTTCAAAGGCAGAAGTTATGCTTCGACACAACAAATGGAGAAAGGTCGAAGAGGGCTCACAATAAAGCTAAGAATAGTGCACCGAAAAGGCTGAAGTCAGGAGATGGCCGAGCTCCTAGACCGACCAAGGAGGATCTAAGGGATTACCTACAGAGGAGGCAACAAGATGCCAAGGTAACCTCCTCGGTCAAGCCGAGAACGCCATTCTTGGTAGAATTGGACAAATTCAAAGCCCCGAAGAGGTTTAGCATGCCGAGATTCCAGATCTACGACGATAAGTCGGACCCCAACTTTCATGTCTATTTGTACCCGAACTCGATGGCGTTATACACCGGGAACGAGTCGTTGCTTTGCAAAGTGTTCCCTCCATCCTTCGGAGAAATTGCATCAGACTGGTTTCACAAGTTGCCGAAAAGAATTGTGAAAACCTGGGAAGGCCTGCCTGGGATGTTTGTGGCCAGGTTCGTGACAAACAAGTTGCAGACATTAAGGGTGGACGCCCTGATGGCCCTGAGAATTAGCGAGGACGAAAGCCTTAGGGCCTACGCCAAAAGGTATTATGAAGTATTTAACCGAATACCAGGATGCAACCAAGAGGTGGCGGTTGTATCGTTTAAAAACGGCCTGAAGGATGGCTGCCTACTTCGAAAATCATTGGCAAAGACATTGCCAAAAAGCATGGAGGAGCTTATGGCTAGGATAGAAAAGTATGCCAAGGCCGAGGAGGATACGCCGGAGACAAAGGCGCCGAAACTAGAGAAGAAAAACGGCTCACCGAAGCGAGGCCGAGGTGATGGTGGCTACAACAAACCAGAAATAAGATGGCAGCCACAATCGTATTCCAAATTCCACTTTACAAAGTCTTGGAGAAAATCCACAATTAGCCCTACTACAGAGCACCAGCAAGGGTACCAAGCGAGTTTATGGAAAAAAGCCTTGACAAGCATTGTGCTTACCATAATGAAGCTGGACATCTGACTCAGGGGTGCAGAGCCCTGAAGACACATCTGGAAGACCTGGTAAGACAGGGCCATTTAAGAAACATGGTAGATGAAGCCAGGACAAGGGAAGGGCAGGCAAGACTGCCCCAGGCACCAACAGCACCACCCCCACCAGCACCACAACCACAACCACAGGCAGGCGGACCTCGAGTGATCAATGTGATCCACTCAAAGGTAAATGAGAATGAGATAAAGGGGGAAACCCAAAAGGTAAAACACCTGCAACATGTATATCAGGTCGGGAAAAAGAGACCTAGGGCAGGCAAGAGCCAAGGATCAGTGGTGTCCTTTACTGAGGAAGACTTGGAGATGGTACGACATCCACACAACGATGCCTTGGTAATATCCCTCCAGATCGGAGAGTGCCAAATGAAGCGCATCTTAGTTGACCAGGGCAGCTCTTGTGACATCATGTATATTAGGTGTTACAAGGAGCTTGGCCTTCACCAAGATGACCTGGAGCAGTCCAATGGCCCAATGGTTGGGTTCAATGGAACATCGACGTGACCATTGGGAGCAGCAAGTCTGGAGGTGCAGGCTGGC